AATAGCTTGGTTATATGTCGTGTAACATCTAGAAAATATATTTGTATATATATATTGATATATAATATGCTGTCAAAAAAAAAAGAAATGAAAAAGAGAATTGGCAAACAAGGACAAACCAACCGATGCTACCTTGATACAGTCTATTAGTAATCCACCACGACTATTATGCACAGGCATCTATATATATATATATATACATGTATATATGTAGTGGAATGGCGAAGCAAAGAAGGATGTCGAAAGTAATTGACATTTTATAGTCTATTAAGCACTAGAAGAACAAAAACAAAGACAAGCAAGAAGGGAGGGGTATTTATGGGACACAGTGCTAAACAGGCAATTCTAGAATAATAATGTAATTTGATCAATATCGATGCTTTTCACCAACATGAAACTGATGACGACGATAATAGAAGATGATGAGAAAAAAAAAAAAGAAGAATCGTGCGTGCAATACATAATGAATACTTGTTAGAAAAATAGAATCCTTTAAATAATAACAGTAACAACTAATAGTTTTTGGTTTTCTTCATATAAAAATTCCTATTTACTTTTCTTCTTATTCTTTTACTTGACACGCTATTCATTCGTCTTCTTTTTTTTTTAAAAAAAAATTTTCTATTACCTACCATCTATTTCATTCACACATTGCGCACCATAAATCATGCGTACAGAGTGTTCTGTTGAACGCACGCATGCCTCTCACTTTTCTTTAGACATCAACATAGTCTTATTTTTTTTTTTTTCTTACTAATATCTTTCTCACATACAAACTATTACACAAACTAATAACTATCTGATATAAATATAGACAACTTCCCTGTTTTATATATAAAGATAGATCGATGAGAACAAGTTCTATGTCGAAAACAAGGACGATATCTATATCTATTGTTTTAGTTTTCCATCAATATAAATGTGTGCCTTATACTGTAGGCGGGTGATGAGATGTAAAGATATGGATACCAGGAAAGATTTTTCTTTTCCTATATTAGTAACAACAACATATAGAAAGATTTATACACGAGTATATGCATGCTGATGGTAATCGGATATGATTTTCGTAAAAAAAAAAAAAGAAGTCTAGTGACGATTTCTACCTGTTGTGAAGAAATGCAAAAGAAAAAAGACAAAAAGTATGAATAACTTAACCAAATAGATTGACATAGTAACGATGCACAATCCTGATATAAATAAATGCGAAAAACAGCTAGCATCGATCAACGATCATTGGCATGCAAGCTGCTCAACTTAACAAGGACTCATTTACTTCTTTTCTTCTTTTCATTCCCTCGACATGAGAGATGAAGAGAAGCACACAGAGAGAGAGAGAGAGCAACAAAACTACTCACATTCATGTGTCAAATACGCCACTATCCGAATAACAGAAGAGACAGAGAGAGAGAGAGAGAGAGGGAGTAAGGAAGACAGACAAGAAAAGAACAACGTCGTCGACGCCCCAAGTTCCTCGCTATCGTCGTAACACCATTACAGTGTATGCGTGTATATGCGTGTAGGAGAACTGCCATCATTTTTTTTTGCAGCTTCGCAATTGGTATTTGCGCGTATACTTTTCTTTCTCTCGTTTTCTTTTTCATCGGTAGAATAATGCCAAAATGTTAAAATTACTTGATGTTCGATCATCGCAAACATTGATACATAAAAGAAAAAGAAGAAAAAAAAAAAAAGTAGACAGACAAATGAGAGATAAAAGTAGAAAAGAAAACACAAGAAACGTGCCATTTTATAATGTTCTCTAAGCGTGTTCAAGACTTGATGACATATCGGTTCATTGAGCACTATTTTTATTCTCTAAGTTTTTTTTATTTTTCTATTTCATTAAATGTTGTTTATACGACAGTCGTAATTCTTATCAATGATAAAAGTGAAAAGAGTTGATATATACCATAGAATAAAAACGATTGATAAATAATGAACGATAAAAATGTCCAATAAAACAAGTTAGAAGAACTAACTAAACAGACAAGGTTAGAAGACTGGCAAATATACAGTAAAACAAACAGACATTTGATATGCTAACTTTTCTCAATTACCAAAGTGGCATACATATATATATATAGATTACTTTTGAAATGACTACTGCTTTTACTAATTCTGTTATGTCAAAAAAAAAAAAAAAAATTTTTTTTTTTTCTAATAATTTATCTGCTAAAGAAATTTAATTATAAAATCAGCAACTAGCATCGACTAAACTCACCTGTAAAATAAAATGTTAACCTTAATCGAACAACTGTCAGTAATAGTCATTTCACATATGTATCCATGTTTTTTATCTATTGCACAGTGCTTACTCGAACAACAAATGCATCTGTAGTGTCTTTTTTTTTTCCTCTTCTCTTTTCTCTTATTTTTTTACTGTCTAAAAGATGCCTTCATCGTATCGACATAAATACATACATATTTTCCTTCACGGTTTTAATCATCAACGGTAAATAACAAATATATACGCGAACAAAAAAAAAACGAGAGACATGCAAAGGTAATATATATATATATATATTTAAAGAAATAGTAACATCCGAAGGTTGTTTTTTTTTTCTTTCTCACCTGTCTATATCTGTCTTTGACCTTTCCGAACACACTAGCAGACGCATTTCTTTCTCTTAGTACCATAGTTTGATTTTGTTCTGTTGATGTGTACAAGTCACGGATCGATGAATGGCATGACGGCGGTAAAATCTAGATGCCATTTTTGATGAAATAACTTTTTTTTTCTGCTCTCCCTTTCTTTACTGTCTTTTATTACTGCTGCCAACAACATACACACACGTATAAGCGGCAACGAGCGCATAAAAAAAAATGAGATTCTCTTTTTTCTTTTATTTTGTTCTATTACTCTATGTATAGCGCCACGCCTGCCGCCACTATAAGTCGCTGGTGCAGCTGTTTTTTTTATAGAGAACGATATAACAGAGAGAGAGAGAGAGAGCAAAAGAGAAGTATGCTGGTTTTGGTTCTTACGCCATAGCAAGCGAGAATCTATAGATTTGCTATTTGTTATCGGCTATTAGTTTGTCTATCCTCTCTTATTTTTGTCAACAGTGTTTATATGCATACACACACACACACACATTTCTATTCGTTTATATTTGTCATTGCACCATGTTTCATAAATGTACACATAGGCGTACAAATGATGACAGTAAAATCATTATGACAAAAAAGGAAGTGCTCGATTTCGATAACAAATATACATGAAAAAAAAAACAGAACTTGCATAGACACATCATAGATATTGATCCATGATGATAATTTTGTTATACTGTAGCAACAGATGTACAACATGAGAGTGAAGGACATGAAAAATGTTCGATAGTATGAAAAGAGAGAATAAAAACGAGAAGTAGATGATGATGATGAAACTTCAAAGAAAAAAAAAAAGAACTAATCTCTCGTCAAATATCAACAATGATGAGTAGGTAAGAAAGCCAGAAAACTGACTAGAGAGTTGAAACCTGATGTGAAAAAAAAGAAAACGAGAAAGAAAATAATTGATTCATACGAAGACAGAAATCCATTTAGAGCAATAATCCATGCGTGTGCATTTATTATTGATTCACTAATGCTGAAGGTTTATTTTGTACAGATCCGGTTTCTTTCTATTGTAGCATATATAAATGTGTATTTAGTTTGATTATTCATTCTTCTTTCTTTTTTTTTTCTCTACTATTGCAATTCGAGCAAGAGTAAAGAAAAACTTACCCTAAAAATCTAGTTGTTGATTATTTATAATCGTGTTCAATTTCATTAGACAAAAAAAAAAGCCAAAAAGAAAAGATCGATAGTCTTTGTTCGTGTCACTCTTGATAGTTATATATATATATATATGCTCAACTGAATGGCGAATTCTATTTTTTCTCATAATGAATTCTGTTTTTTATCAGAACAATATCTCTTTTTCCATTCTTTGACTGTGACTCTCTCTCTCTCTCTCTCTCTTCACTGCCAACATAACTATTTCTAACCACCGTAAGAGAATATGATTAAAGTGATACTACTTCTCTCTTTTTCTCTGATGATAGAAACATATTTGCATAAGAGACAGAGAAAAAAAAAAGAGCACAAGAAAAATTCTTGCTGACTCGTGAGAATGCATCAACATTGTAGCAAAAAAGAAAAAGGGGGGCAAAGAAAATAAAGTATTACCGACTAACTTCATTGGTCTTTGTACTGGCATTTTTTTTGAATCTCTCTCGAGATATCAACAAGCAAACATGGCTATGGTTCTTGTTCTTCTTTTCTTTTTTTTTTCCTCTTTCTATTTCGTTTTTTATTAAGAGAATAGAGAAAACATGATTTTTTCAGAATTAACTTCATATACATTCTTTTGGTAGATGTGATGGACGTGCTACTATGTAACTAGTACCCTCGATTATCAAACATGTTTTTTAATTCAAATATTAAAGTTCACTCAATCAAGTTTTACACCAATAATAACAATGTTGATCGATGAGTGTTGAGTATATATGCATATATGATGAAGGTTTTTTTTGCACTTTACTAATGATGATCGGTATTATTACTTGAATTCAATCATCAATGATGATTTTGATAAGAAAGGAAAAAAAAAGAGAGAATTTTTTTTTTATTCGTATTTTTCTTACTCACACCTCACTTGAGGTATAGATCTATGTGAACAACCTTCATCATGAAATATATCGTGAGAGAGAGAGAGTGAGAAAGTAAAACAGACAATCTTTTTAAAAAGCACGTTCGATCTTTCTCTTCGACGCAATGCATATATATACGTGATGTATGCCAGAACACCTTCATATCAGTCTTGATAAAGATTTATATAGCTTAACAAATTTTTATATATTTATAATTTTATTAAAATATAATATGTAAGCAAAAAGCAAAAAAAAAATATTAAAGAATAAATTAGTAAAAATAAATAAAAAAAAATAAAGCATGTTTTAAAATGAAATCACATGAATATGCTAAATAAGAAAAAAAGAAAATATTATTAGAAAATTTTAATTTGATTTTTTTCTTTGTTTTTCTGCTGATTGTACGTGTTTTTTCTTAGGTTTTGAACTTGCACCATTTAATACTAATGCAAGAATAATTGAAATAATTGGTACTATAAAATACCATGTTTGATAAAAATATAAAGTTTTACGAATTTCCAATAAAGCAAATGGTGTTACAATAAAAATTAATCCTATTTGAGTACCTAACCATGTTAAACATGCATAAATATATATTGTGATTTGATTCTTTTGAAAATATGGACGTATTTGTCGTCGAATACCACGACCAGCATAAGTTTGAAATGCTGCTAAGATAAAACTAACATAATATCCAGGATAAAATCCATGCTGAAACATAAAAGACAAGGATTAAAATAATTTTTCAGTAATAGAAAAACAAGACAAACAAATCCGATTATAATATATGTGTTCAAGTACAACTAAAGATGATTGTAATTTTTTTTCTTTCTTATTGTAAATTTAATAGGATAATGGTTTTTTTTATTCAAATTTTAGTGTAATAATAAATTTCTTTGTTGTATTTTTTTTTTTTTGGTGAAATTCTCTATCTATTGAAAATTACGTGAGATTTAATGTGTTAAGAATTAAAGAAAAAGAAACATAAGACTTGCAGTGTTAATCAATAAAAGAATGTTATATCAAAGCAGCATTATTATTCAATTAAGAATATAAATAGTCATTGTTAGTATAAAAACATCAGCATGCAAAAATGTTACATTTTTTACCTTCAACTCTAATCATCAATTGACATTAATAGCAAAGTTTGCCATTTAGCTATTTGAATGTTGAATCGATTCACAAATATAAAATCATATTTTTTTCTAGATAAGAATTATCAGTTAGACAGTTTTTATAAGAGCTGTTAAGCAAGGTTTATGCAAGCCGATCAAGAATTCATTAATAGAATTATTTTATAGTCGAAATTCAAATATACTTTTCTTTTAACAATAATCGATTCCTAACATGAAACTGGCATTATAAAATTTTTTTTTTTAGCATTCTGTGATTTGATTTAATGGAGTTATAAGTGTTAAAATATAAGGGACATTGAGGAAGAGAAAAAGAAAGGTCATGCTCATAAATTATGCTTGTGCCAGACTGACCTTTTTCTCATTGTAATCCTATTTTCAACATGATTACTAATCAGGGTACAACTTTAATATTTAATTTGTGCTTTTTTTTTTTTTGCTGGTATTTAGTAGACTTTACTTGTAAAAAACTAAGACTTGTTCAAAATTAATATAAGATTCTGAATCAGCATTAGAAATTGAGTCGACTTATGTGTATTTCAAATATATTTAAGATGTTTTTTTTTCTTTCATTAAAAAGTTTATCCTCTAGTACTTTTCAGGGTTTAGTCAAAAAAATGAAACTCAACCAAAACTCATTTTGACATTGGAAAAGAAATTTTATGCTTTTAAAATGAGTATGGGACATGAAACGGAAAATGATTAGGAAATAAAGAGTCTTGTGATGAATTTCATTTTTTTTAATTAAACTCTAAAGGAGATCCGGGGGGTGAATTCTTCGAAGAAAAGAAAATGTCTTACAGATATTTGAAATACACATAAGTCGACTAAATTTCTGATGATAATTTAGAATATCATTTTAATTTTGACAAAATCATGATTTTTCAAAGCAAAATCTACTAAGTAATAGTCACAACAAGCACAAATTTATGCCTTAGGAATCATACGACTAATCCTTTTTCTTTATATTTTTATAATAGTTTTGTAGAGTACAAAACTCTTCATCAGATATATTATATTATTATTGCATTCTAATTAGTAATCATATTGAAAAATCACTTTACAATCAAAAAAAAAGCGAATTTGATGAAAGTTTACTTTTTAAGAAAAGATAATTCTTTTGAACCAAGATTCAAATTTTTCAGAAATTTATTCGAGATGTTTTTGTTCAGTTCTATGTAGTCTTTCACATAAGATATTGTTTAAATAAAATATCAAAGTAGGGAAGTAGACAAAAGTTTTTCAAAGAGTATACCTTACTTATTATAGGAGGTACACATCAGCAGCAAAATAATATTTTACTTCGCAAAAAAGATTTTCTATTGGTACCTGCTCGAGATGTTTTTTTTAGCCAACGGGATGCATAGTTATTGCATGCATCTTGTAGATATTTCTGTCACACGGAAATATATACACAACAATCGAGATGATCTGTCTTTTTGTGTTTATCAGACAGCTTCATGTTTCAACATTTTTCACTCCATCAAATTAAATTGCATAAGTTCAAAATTTTTCTGATAACTCAAATTTAATATTATAAATCGATTATTGAAAAGAACAAGTATATTTTAATTTCGACTCTAACATCGACTTTCTCAATAAGTTTGTGTAGTTTTTCTTAACCATTTATTTTATCGTTATTTTCATCCCTTCACCTTTTTGAAATATCAGATCTACAATCATCAAACTTTTTGAAATGAATTGTTCTCTATCTACATCCAATAGAGATGTTTTCGAATTTCAGTGTGATATAAATTGATGAAAAAAAAAAAAGCTTGCTAGTGGACTATATGTCTTGTAAAAGCATCAAAATAACTCGGCGAAGTATATTTACTAAGGCATGCAATTGATCATAAAGCCATTATTCGAGAATCAAGAGCAAAGTTAATAAATATATTATGAGCCTGACTTCATGAGAAGTTGACATGGTATTTATTTTAAATAAAATGTCATCTAGGGTCATAAAATGACTCCAATGCAAACTAGATGATATTTAACAAAACGTGTCAAAGACGGGTATGTTTTTTTGATCTTCATTGTTATAAGCTTAATTCTTTCTTTTTTCTATGAATAAAATAATATGGAATTGATGTTGCTGTTTCTTACTTAATAATGTAATCAAAGAAAAAGAAACCAAGGATTAATATGTCATTAAATTCCTTTTCTTTACTACCTTTATAATATGTCTATGAGTATGTCATTGTGAGAATAAGATAAACTTGAAATGACTCGGACCTATGACTTACTATTATATTTTTGATAAAGACATAATTGAAACGTTCAAAGCTATTTAAAGACTAATAAATCAGTTTGTAGAAATATTTCAAGTCAAAATATGATATCAAACGACATCCGACAATTGGATATGTTCTTTAGTTCAAGATTTTACATCTCTGGAATTTTTTTACGTATTCAATCTGAAATACCTTTCATGCGATTATTTGAATATTTCGATTGTATAATATTTAAAGTATTCATAGAATATTTCACACAATCTTAATCAACATTAATCTTATACATTTTATAATCATTCTTCATAGGATTATACTGATTTTTTTTTTTTTTCGAAATTTTTTCTTACCCAAAATGCTGAAAGAACAAAAACGCCTAATGTTCGACCTTTATTTAATCTGTCATAACAAACACGACGAAGCCATATAGTTGTTTCTAAATATATACAAAAAAAAAAAAAACCATATTATAATATTATATTAAATAAATAAAATTCTATGTCTTCATTCTTACGTATATTCCATACATCTAAAACAACTTTTAAACTTGTTGCTAATTCTAATTGAAGTGGTTTAACATTTGTCAAAAGATCCCATCGTGGTATTCCATGTTGATCAAAACCATTAAAGCCAAGACCAGCTGCATTATTAATAGCTTCCGATACAATAAATGCAAAATAATATCTAAGAAAAATAAAAAAAAAATCATTTCTTTAGTATTTTTTCTTTTGTTTTGTTTAATATTTATATACTTACTTCGTTCGAGCACAAAATACTGTAAATACAAGAAACCAAAGTCGTTTAAACAATGGAGAATTAACCATTTTTTCACTTAAATTAGATTCTATTCGATAATATGGTGCATAACATATAAGTACATAACTCCAAAGTGCACATTGTGCAAGTTTTGTAAATACAGGCCAAAATGTAGATGGTTGTTCGATTGTCAATGGTTGATCTTGTTCATCACTAGATTTAGCATTTGTTCTACTTAGTGGTATAACAAGTAAATTACGTCCTTCAATAAAATCACGATAATCTTTAAAAAAACATAATGGTCCAACACATATTCCATGAAAATAAAATATATAACTAAGATATTCAATAGGATTTGGTATTTCAATAATTTTTTGTTTTTCTTGATCTTTACTTAATGTTGAATGTTCATCATCTTCATCTGGTCGTCGAAGATGAGCACGTTTTATTGAACGATAACCATCATAGAATGCAAAAGCAAGTGCTGTTAATTTTTGAGTATTTATCATTAATGGTCCACTTATATCAAGTGTATAATTCCCATAATCATATATTAAACGATGGATATGAACTAGATAAACAAAATTCTTATTATTATTATTTTAATAAAAGAATAACATACCTGCACTCATATAAATCATACAAAAAATAAATATAACAAGATATGAATGTTTTGGATGAATCACATAAAACATTAGATATGTAACAGATGATTGCACAATGATATGCCATATTTGTGAACCAAAACAAAAATGACAAATAGCAATGCCAAGAAAACTTACTAAAATTGATAAATAACCGATCTTTTAGTATTTTAAAGGTTTCTCTTCTATTATCCATTTGATTAAAACATTCTTTTTTATCAAAAAGATAGCGCTTGAAATTCTCTGCAAAATCATACATGACTAGACCCTAAAACTGTTTTAGATGTATTCGAAAAAAAAGAAAAATGAAGACATACAAAAAGCTGTAAAAATGTAACAGATTGTGCATAATCAATGACCGCGCTTTGTATCTAATGTTTCCATCACTTTGTCCTATTCGAAAAACAAAATATACCAAAAAATGCAGCATGAAAAGCTCTACAATTTACAAAGAATAAATTATAAAAAGAGGAAATAAGAAAAAGCAAATTCACTTTGTATCAAAAAAATGAAATATTATTTTCGTACGGTCGAAATTTCATCGCTTAAAACTTTGTCCATTTTGAAAACGAAAAATGCAACTATAAAATAGGCAATCTTGTGTAAAGTGTAGAGCTTTTCACGCTGCATCTTTTGATATATTTTGTTTTTCTAAGAGAGCGAAGTAAGGGATGAAAAAATGGGATGCAAAGCGCTGCCAGTCATTATGTACAACCGGTTTGCATTTTACAGCTTTTTGTATGTCTTTATTTTTCATTTTTGTTTTCAAATATATCTAAAAGAGTTTTAGGATCTGGTCATATAGGATTTTGTAGAGAATTTCAAGAGCTATCTTTTGATAAAAAAAGCATGTTTTAATCAGAGAGATAATAGAGGAGAAATCTTAAAAATATTAAGAGGTCGGTTATTTATGACCCACCCGTTATTATCTAGTTTTCAAATGTCAGAAAAAAGTGAATCCTTCTTTGTCGAAATTTTCAACTAAGTTTCATCAAAAATAGTAACCTGAAAAAAAAATCAATGAAGATAAATCAAGAAGAGAGACTGAAATACGCAAAGAACTTATTAGTAATACAGTGTATTACAGTTCCGGATTGATAAACAGAACTGATTTCGATCACCAGTTCTTTGCAGAAATATTTAAATTAATGATCAGATCTTTTCAAACGGACTGATTTCACTAAGCATCTCATTTTAGTCTTATAATTAAACTGTACAAGTATGTTGAAATGGAACTGTTGAAAACTTAAAACTAGAAGATAATCAGTTGTTCAATAACTCAGTTCATATGAAAAAAAACTAATGACCGTAGTCAGTTCTCACCTAAAGAAAAACATGGATCACTAGACTCTGTTTACGTTCTACTTACAAAAATTTCTCTTTTTTTCTATTGTGTATTTGCTGCTATCCTTTATTTTCTGTTTACCCTATGAGTTCTACTCATGAGACCCTTGGTTGAAGTTAACTGAATTTGAAAAATCTAGTCTCTCCATCAGCGAGAAAAACAGTTTTTTTTATAAAAACTAACTTGTAGGGCACTTTACCCATGAATTTCATAGGACGTCAAAACTTATTATATTAACATCTCTAATACGAATATGCAATATAAGCTCATATCTTGTTGTAATTCGCATATCGATCACATTTTTTCACAGAATTTTAAAAATGTGAACACAACAAATATATTATTTGGTTGTCATATTAACCTTGCATTTGAAATCATTTACACACATTAACAATAAACAGAAATACATTAGGATTTTCACTATTGTTTATCTTGTAATTAATCTGAATTATTTTTCGACAAAATAAATATTCTTTATGAAAAAATATCATACCGACTAAATGTCTGGAAAGTATATTGCTTTGTTTAGGTGGTAGAAAACGTCGAAAACATATTGCAAAAATTAATGACAATAATTCGGCGAAAAGAAAATTAAATTGATCAATTGATAAACCGAGTATATTAGCAACAGGAGTAAAAAGACGTGAACCTGTATATGATGAAGTACTTGAATCACCTGCAGGTTGATCCATAATTGTTATCTTTTTTGTGATTTAGTCAATTTATTTTCAACAATAAAAATATAAAAATTCGTCTAGAAAGAAAAAAAGTCAAATGAATGATGAATAGATATCGGCTACAAATTACAGAAGATAAAACATACATGATATACTTTCACAAGCATACAAAATAGAGCATATACTATCTTTTATGTTACAAAGAGAATCTTTTGAAGTTGAAAATCGCTTTTCATTTTGCATAAGATAAATCTCAATGAAGTATGTGAAATTTCAAAAAGGATAAAGGAATATTGACCTTCCTCAAAGAATTATACCTGTCTTACTAAAATTTGAGTCTATAGTATGGCATGTACAAAAGAATGAATGATGATATTTTCATTTAAAATTTTCATTTTAGATTATAACTAGAATGTTTTGAAAATATTAATTGAAAAAAATGTTTCTTCGACGAAAGATTCAAAAGTCTTATTTCTTTTTGGGAAATTGAATATCTCATGAAAGGAACTTTGTTTTACGGTGAAAATTTCAAGACATTCAAGTGACAATTTATGGATAAAATTTCAAATCAAAATATCGCCATTAGATTTGTCCTTTTGAAATTTTTACTAATTTAGTGAGGCTTACTTGTATGCATAGAGTCCGAATTCAAAAGCAATATTCAAGTTGGAAGATTCCTTCGACAGTTCGTCTCATACGTTTACAACATTTAACTTATCATAAATATGTTTTAAAAAAAAATGTGCAAATTTATTATAAAAAAAATTCATTTCATGTACTAGAAAAAGAATAAATGAAAAATATATAATAAATCTTTTTTAAATGTAGAATGATAACCTTGGAAGTGGAATGCATAAAGATCATTACTCATAATATGAGTTATGAAGTTTTTATAGTTTGCATAACGTGCAAAATGACGTCAATAATTACATATAGTTATTCATCATTTTTATTAGCTTTTATTCCGAGAAAAAAAAATTCTGTCTACCATCCGGAACTTATATTCACGATTCAAATAAGCTTCCTGTTCTCTCATCAAAATATACTCACCGAAGAGAGTGAGTGGTTTTCTTTTTAATACGTTTGCATTACTTAACGAAAAAAAAAAAAAAAGCAAAAGAAATAAAATAAAAAACGATGATGATGATGATGATAACAGTAATAAGTATGTTTATTTTTCATGTTTAGATACAAAAGAAAAACAAAAGAAACAATGAGTATACACATACACAGAAATACACAAGGTAAATTTATTTGTTCTAGAATAATCTCATTTAGTTTGTGTTCCTGTTTGTTGTATTTGTTGTATTAAACTAATATTATCACCTTTAAGTAAAATTCTTCCAATTTTTTTTCGTTGATTTTTTTTTAATAAAATTTCTTCAGCATCATCCAAAACAAGATTCATATATTCATCAAAACCAATAATATAACCTTCAATACGTGTTGTTGTTTGTTCATATAACCAAACTTGTATACGTGAACGATTTTGTAAATATCGAAATATTAAATTAATTGGTTGTACCATTACTTTTTGTACTTTAGTTGGTGGACCTCGTGTTGCCATATTTAAATCTAAAGCAAAAAAAAAAAAATAATAATAATCATAATAAGCGATGTTGACTTCTTTTATTTCTATAAAAAATTCTTCCAAAAGAAAGAAAGAAAAACAAAACAAAACATACACACAATGAAATGCCTGGCTGAATTAATCAAAGATATATACAAACGCATACATAGAATATATACATTTTGTAAATTATTTACAAAAAATACTTCTCTTTTCCGTCTGAATTTTCTGATCACCAACAAAAAAAAAAAGAAAACGAACAAAAATTGCACAGTAAATACTCGCAGGATTAATTTCATAAAAGAATATGTTTGCTGGATTGAATAGAAAAAAAAGAAAAACAAAACGAGATCACTCGAAGTAACTGAATGTTTTTTTCTCCCTTTTTTTTTTTGTTTTTTTCGAACAAAAAAAAAAATACAAGATTCACTGTTAAGATTGTTTTTTTTTACTGACAAAAAAAAACAAACAAACATTTGATCTTTACAAGAATTACATATAATATAGATATATGATAGTAAAATAAAAAGAAATTTATATCAACTAGCAACTGCAGAAGAACGTCGATGACAATTTGGATGATATGGTTTAAGTAGATGAAGAATTGATTTCAATAATTGAAGTATCAATGGATCTGAATATTCAGATAATAATTGATCATCATATAAGTTTTGCATTATATCATAAATTTTTTCTTCACGAATTATTCGACTATATCGAGCACCTTAAAAAAACAAAGAGTTACCAAAGATTGTTTTGTGCTTCTATTCTAATATATATAAACCTACGATCTGTACTACAGACATGATGAATAGCCCATACTGCCCATAATTGTACGACCGGTAGTCGAGTACAATGAAGTAATGGTAAAAATGGTTTGAAAGATCTAAATATGAGAAATTCATAGCAAAATCATTGATGCGTGAAATATAAATATTATTAATAATTGTTAAACGGAAATATCACTATTTTCTATAGAGAGAAAAAAATAGCTCTTTTTTTCTACGGATATGCACATTTCAAATGAGTTTTTTTTCTAATTGGCGATGTATGGAACCAAGGCTATTCCTAGTGTTCACATCAAATACACAAGAAGTTTTACATACAAATGCATCTCTTATCTTTTTTTTCATGTTTGTTCATTGTCTAATTAGTTTGAAATTAAAAAGAAGAAGCATATTTTTTTTTTGGATTGTAACTTTAATTTTCATTTTAGATTTTCAATAAATTTTTGCAGTTTTTAGCTTCCGCATGACGAGAGCTTTGACAGTATCAATACATATTTTTCTTTTTTTAAGTTAAAAAACTTTACGAAGATTATTAAACTATAGTCTAGTATTAAATACAAACCTTATAGTTAGTGTTTCTTATTTTCACTCTCAGGTTCTCTTATATACAAAGTATAAACATATCGATTCTCTATAATAAATATTCTAAGTCTTGATGGCATATCTGTACGCCACTCTATAGTCAGTTATTACTAAATTTTTCAATAGTTTATTTGATTAAATGTCTAAAGTTCTCTTTCAATCATACAATGTAATCTTGTATATATATCCTACAGTCTACTGCTTAAAATTCATATAAAAATTTTCTTTCTACTTAGTGCTATTATGAATTTCTAATGATAAGCATGTAAAACTACATAGCACAATAATCCTTTGAAAAAAAAAATATATTCAAGAATAAAGGTGTGAGTCAATGCATTGATTGAGAACTACAAAAGTCTTCGACTATGGCGCAATAGTTCAACTGTTTGATTTACATTTCTATTCAAAAAAGTAGTTGAATTCCGACTAGTTTACATAATAATCAACTTTCTGTGTCTATTCGTGCAATCTTTAAGGTTATTTTCATTTAGTTTTTTTTTACCTATATGTAACCATATTTGTATGTGGCTTTTGCCATGATACAATTGTTTCTCTCATTTGTTGACATAATTCTAAATTAATTTCATTATCATTTTGTTCATAAAGTAAATGTGCTAGAATTCCAACAGCTGAAAAAGCAACATCAAGTATAGCTTCAGTTAAATATTTTTGCATTAATGGAATAATATCAATTGAATAAAGATAAATTTTTAAATGTGATACTTCAGCTATATTACTTAATAAACCAACAATTTTTGTTAATACAATTGTATCAGTTGAAAATAAATTAAGAAGACGTTGAAATAATTGTAAACCCATTGATTTAATAAAATTTTCACAAACAATTCCATTTTCATCTGTTAAATTCCATAATAAACTTAAACAAAAACGTAATGTATCATCACTAGTTAATTGTTGACTATGATTTAATGTTATATCAATATCAGTTAATGTTTGTTGATTTTGTTCATTGTGTGCTTGTTGATTTTGATTTAATTGTATTGCTTGTAAACGATCAATTTGTTGTTCAATTAATTGAATTAAACGTTTTAAATTTATTATTGAACCTAATTTTGTACATTCATCGATTGTTAACTTGAATATAAAGAAAATAAAAAAAACAATATATTTCAATTGTTTTCGAAAATAATGATAAAGAAAAAAAAATCGTGTATTTAATTTAATCATAGATATGTTTCAAGTATTTACAAATATTATCTAATACAAAGAGAAAAAATTGAAGTCGAGTGTAGGGATCTGCAAAATGACGTTTTTCTGGTCCCGGTCCCGGTCTCAGTCCCGGCTAAAATTTTTTTAGTCTCGGTCTCGGTCCCGGTGTTTATTATAGCTAAAATTTTCTATTTTCACATGTATCAAAAGTCATAATAGACTTTTCTTCAGACTACAACCACTCTATATACATGTCGATTGGCATAGTACTATTTGAGAGTGAAAGAAATATTTGTAATCTGAAGAAGTACCTAAGAACCTGTATGACTAGGACTAAAATTTTTAGGGCTAGTTCCAAATCTTTTTTGCAAGATTAAGTCTAGATTTGATGTTTTTTCCTAAACTGTGATTTGTAAAAGGCTTTTATCGGATTTGGAAACAAAAATAGTCGATGTACAGATTTTTTTTATGAGGACATAGTAAAAAATGTGAAAATATATATTAGAGATACTTGATAAAAAGAAGCTGACCGGGACCAATCTGAAAAAGTTTTAGTTCCGGGACCATTTTGCAGATGCCTAGTCGAATGAATTATTTAATTCTTCAAATTCATCAAGATCGTTTTCCTTCAAATTTTTTCAGTTTCATTAAAATATTCTAGTCGATTTTAAGAACATCTTGTTTCTAATAAACTTGATGGATATCATTTTGAGAATGTTCATGATAAAAATTGTATATGGAATATTTTTTTCTGAATCATTATGCAGCTGCCTTTCCATCAGATAATAATGTTCTGCAAATGAAATAAATATTAGAAAAATTGCATGAAAATTTAATTCTGTACTTTGAGAATTAAATGTAAACAATTCATTTTAATATAGAAATGAAATGTATATTATATAGAT